GATGCGCGACTTTCCCGAGTCGGAGGCAGAGTGGCGTCTAACCGTCCTCCTGAAGGGATTGAGGAGCAACGGTCTAGCGGCAGGGACATGGTCAGCCCTGTCTTCGATCACGAACCCATGCAGGTGGGTCGAGCTCGGCTTTCCCGGGAGGAGAGGGAGAGGCGGAGGTCCCAGGGCCTTTGCCTATACTGCGGTGGTTCGGGACATTTTGCTGATAACTGCCCAGTAAAAGGACCTAACCCGATAGTAAGTATGAGGCTACTATCGGGTGGGATCTCCGTCGAGAAGACCTCATCCACATCTACACTCCTTCCGGTACGACTGAGATGGTCAGTTCACCAGCACGACTGTCAGGCACTTCTGGACTCTGGGGCTGAGGGCAATTTTATGGACAGCACGTTTGCACATAAATTCCAGATTCCACTCAGACCACTCACACAGAAGATTGCTGTCCACGCACTAAATGGTCAGGAACTTCCCACCATCTCATTCACTACCGAAGACATCACCCTCATCACTTCTGGCAATCACACTGAGACTATTTTTTTTTACATCCTGGACTCACCCTTGGCACCCATCGTTCTTGGTCACCCCTGGCTCATCCGTCACAACCCCCGAGTGGACTGGCATCATAAATCTATTCTGGAGTGGAGCAAGGAATGTCATAAGTCTTGTCTTGCGTCTGCCTGTCCGTCTGTGCCTGTTTGTGTGTTTCAGGAGGAGGCGGGAGATCTGTCTAACGTGCCCGAAGAGTACCATGATCTGAAGGAAGTGTTCAGTAAGTCTAGGGCTGCTTCTCTCCCTCCTCATCGTCCCTATGACTGTGCCATAGAGTTAATGCCAGGTAAGTCTCCGCCTAAAGGCAAATTATACTCGCTTTCTGTTCCAGAAAGGGAGGCCATGGAGAAATATATTTCTGATTCTCTGGCAACCAAATTCATCCGCCCTTCCTCTTCACCAGCGGGGGCGGGGTTCTTTTTTGTGGGGAAGAAGGATGGATCTCTGCGACCTTGTATTGATTACCGAGGGTTGAATAACATCACGGTAAAGAATACTTATCCTTTGCCGTTGATGTCTTCAGCCTTCGAGAGGTTGCAGGGAGCATCCATCTTCACGAAATTGGACTTGCGTAATGCTTATCATTTGGTCCGCATCAGGGAGGGGGATGAATGGAAGACTGCATTTAATACCCCTAGGGGGCACTTTGAATATTTGGTCATGCCTTTCGGGCTGTCCAACTCCCCAGCAGTCTTCCAGGCACTTGTCAATGACGTGTTGCGAGACATGATAGATCAATTCATATATGTTTACCTGGATGACATATTGATATTTTCCTCATCTCTCCAGGAACATGTGCAACACGTACGGCAAGTGCTTCAGAGGTTGTTAGAGAATGGGCTTTTTGTCAAGGCGGAGAAATGCGATTTTCATGCACAGTCTGTTCCTTTTCTAGGACACATCATCTCGTCTGAGGGAATGCGTGTGGACCCTGACAAGGTTAAGGCTGTGGTAGAATGGCCAAGTCCAGATTCCCGTAAGGCCCTACAGAGGTTTCTGGGATTTGCCAATTTCTATCGGCGGTTCATTCGCAACTTCAGCCAACTAGCTGCGCCTCTGACTGCCTTGACCTCCCCCGGAACTCCGTTCAGGTGGTCAGATACAGCCGAGGCTGTGTTTGCCAACCTCAAGAGCCGCTTTGTTTCTGCTCCCATCCTCGTTGCCCCTGACTATTCACGGCAGTTCGTGGTGGAGGTTGATGCGTCAGAGGTGGGGGTAGGTGCAGTTCTGTCCCAGCGCTCTCCCACAGACGACAAGATGCATCCTTGCGCGTTTTTTTCTCATCGTTTATCCCCAGCCGAACGTAATTACGACATTGGTAACAGAGAGTTGTTGGCAGTCAAGTTAGCGTTGGAAGAATGGCGACATTGGTTAGAGGGATCGAGGGTACCCTTTATCGTCTGGACCGACCACAAGAATTTGGAGTACATCAGAACCGCTAAAAGACTCAACTCTAGGCAGGCTCGGTGGGCACTCTTTTTCGGTCGTTTTGATTTTTCTCTCTCATACCGCCCGGGTTCTAAAAACATCAAACCCGATTCATTATCTCGCATTTTTGATTCTTCCGAACGCCCGTCTACTCCCGAGTGCATTTTACCGGAAAGTCTATTTGTTTCCACACTCGTATGGGAGATCGAATCGAAGGTCAAGAAGGCCTTAGAAGGGGTAACGCCTCCGCCCGCATGCCCACCGAGTCATTTATTTGTGCCAGAGGGATTAAGATCAGACGTCATCCGGTGGGGTCATTGTTCCAACATAGCTTGTCATCCAGGAGTTAATCGTACTAACTTTTTAGTTAAGCAACGATTCTGGTGGCCACGTATGGCTCGTGACATTCACAGTTTTGTTTTGGCTTGCTCGGTCTGTGCTACTGGTAAGACTTCCAATCGACCCCCAGATGGGCTCCTCCAACCGCTGCCAGTCCCTTCGAGACCCTGGTCCCATATCGCTCTAGATTTTATCACCGCCCTCCCACCCTCTCAGGGTAACACTGTAGTTTTGACATTGGTGGACCGGTTCTCTAAGACTGCTCACTTTATTCCCTTACCCAAATTACCCTCAGCTAAGGAGACAGCGTTGACAGTCGTTGACCACGTCTTTCGCTTACATGGCCTCCCGACGGACGTGGTCTCTGACAGAGGACCCCAATTTGTATCCAAATTTTGGAGAGAATTTTGTAAATTACTGGGGGCGACAGTTAGTCTGTCTTCAGGGTTTCACCCTCAGAGCAATGGCCAGACCGAGAGAGCCAACCAAGATTTGGAGAGAGTGTTACGATGTTTGGTATCCAAGAATCCTTCCTCATGGAGCCAGCATCTTTCCATGGTGGAGTACGCCCACAATACCTTACCAGTGTCGTCCACGGGCCTATCTCCGTTTGAGTGTAGTGTAGGATACCAGCCACCTATTTTTCCCAGTCTGGAATCCGAAGTCGTGGTCCCCTCTGCTCACGCCTTTATCCAGAGGTGTCACCGCACTTGGACTAGAGCCCGTGAGACTTCACTCCAAGTGGGGGCGCGCACCAAGGCTAAAGCCGATCGCCACCGGTCGAAGCCTCCCGTATACGTCGTCGGTCAAAAAGTGTGGCTTTCTACCAAGAACATTCCTCTCCGCTCCGTCTCGAATAAGCTCGCTCCCAAATTCATTGGCCCGTTTACTGTCACCAAATCCATTAGTCCAGTGGCAGTCCGCCTTAATCTACCTCCTGCGTACAGGAGAATTCACCCCGTATTCCACGTTTCCAAAATTAAGCCCGTGTTTCGTTCTCACTTTAATCCGCCAGTCCCGGTTCCCCCCCCGCCGCGTCTCGTAGATGGGGATACCACCTATTCGGTAAATCGGATTCTGGATTCCAGGCGGAGGGGGCGCGGATTCCAGTACTTGGTGGACTGGGAAGGTTACGGTCCGGAGGAGAGAAGTTGGGTACCTGCCAGAGACATTCTGGATCACTCCTTGATCGATGACTACAATCGACAGGTAAGGAGTTCTGAGAACGCCAGGAGGCGTTCTTAGGAGAGGGGTACTGTCACGGTATACAGATCCAATGTTTCCTTATCGTCTCGTGTTTGTGTTGTGGTATGAAAGCACATGTGTAATGGGCGTGAGTGTGTTGTCATTCCTTCATCCGCTCCAGCTGATCATCATTAATCATCACCAGCTGCAGCTTATCCCCACACTGCTTAAATACTCACTGCATTCTCATTCCCTTTGTAAGATCGTTGTTTGATGTCCTGGGTGTCGGTGTTGAGTCTTGTTCCTGGTTTCCCTGTCTTCCTGTTCCTGTGGATTCGTCGTCTCGGTGTTGGATTGTTTCGTCTCGTCTTTGCACTGCACTTCACGAGGATTCACCGCACTCTGACCATCGAAGTCCCTGCGTTATCTGTCCACACCCGTGTCTGCATCCTGAGCTGGTTACCAATAAATCCTGTGTTATCTGCAATTGCTTCCTGTTCTCTTTACCGTTCATGACATACCATCTGCGACTTAAGCGTCTGCGACTTACTTTCACTTTGATTTGCGATAGATTGCGGCGCGCTGGCTTGATGAATAGACGCTCAGCTGCTCATCTGAGGTGATGCACATCATCATATATGACTAAAATAACATGACATATAGCTTGGTTTCAACAACCAGATGCATTTACACTTGTCCAGTTTCGTCCACGTCCTCAAGTGGTTTGAGCGATCGGATTCATCCGTCTCTAACGCGTTTCGGAGGGCATTTACACCCTGGTCTTTTCACGATCTAATAGCTATCCGATCACAGAAAACGCATGAAGTGACCAGGTGTAAACAGCCCCTTTGAATCCATCGTCTACTTTTGTGGAAAGCTGACTAGAGTTTTGTCGCTCGAGTTGTCTTCTCTGATACGGAGAACGGCGGCGAATAGCTACACGAACCTGCCAGACATAGCCAGGCGAGCGTGAACGCGCATGACGTCACGGCCAGTCTCAGATTCGAGCCCGAATCCCTCTTATATATTTCACTGTACAGGATTATAGAGGCGATCGCAGTGATCAGAGAAGGGCTCATTCAGCCCATCAGGCGATTGTTTAAGCATGTATGGGTTAGAAAACGGCTAATTTTAACATGAAATGTTGCGCAATGCACCTTTAAATAAGTAAAAAAAGTCTGGCTTTTATGGTTCGGAAGCTTATAAAAATGTATTTCTGTGTTTTTTAGCTTGTTTGCTGTACACCTTGTGCACACCTTCGCCTATTTACAAGCGGAGAAACATTTTCTAGCGAGGAAACGGATCTGATTGAAACACACAAGTAGACCATCTACTACAGCACAAAGTGTGCGAGCGTTGTGGACCCGGCTATTACTAACACGCTCTATAAATAACAAAACTAAATACTGTGCCATTGACTTTGACAGGTTTCAGTTGGTCAGTGCCGCAGTCTATTCAAGTTGCCTCGGAGGACGGCTCAGTGTACTCACTCTCTGATGGCTGTGAATGGACGTCAGCCTGCACATGTGGAGCACACGATGAAGAACTGCCCGCATCTGGAAACAACACCAGTCATACTTTTATGTGAGTGAATTCTACTAGGTCTCAGTGTCTTATGTTTACAAAAATAATTATGATATAAGCATGCATGAAAAAAAAAACCCAAGATGAATCATATATTTCATATATTTCAGAGCAAAATGAAAGTCTTAATAATCTAGTTAAAATGTATAAATAAATGATAGTTGTGGGATAAAAAAATTAATCCAGAAGAAACTGTTTTACTCTGTAAATGCACTCTAATGAATATGGTATATTAGTGTTAATGTACAGAAATAAAATATTTTTAAGAATGTTTTTTCTCCAAGCTTAAAAAAAAGTTTAATAGAAATACCACCCATTTGTGTTCAAGATTCCTGTTACAACATATTCAGGAGCATTTATTACTGTTTATAGTTTCAGATATTATTGCAGATATTGCAGTGATTACGCCTCTTCAGATACCTTCTTTTGTCCCTCTCTCCATAGATTCATCATCACGAACTAAAATGAGAGAACATTTCTTCAGTATTAGTGTTTGCTGGAAATGTGTTGTGGTACAAGATAAACTGCACATGAGCATTTATTTGCAGCTTAGTGAATAGCTTCAGATATTATTGCTGATATTGCAATAAATACTCTTCTTCAGATACCTTTTGTCAGACTCTCCATAGTTTCATCGTCACAAACTAATAATGAGAGAAAAAAATCATTTGGAAGATTTATTTATGAATTGTTTCCACAAATACTCTAGAATTTGTAAACCACAATAAATGTAACTGTTAAGCTGATTCATATGTGGTTTTGATCATAAAAATGACATATATTTAGTTTAATTACCTTTTTTAATGGTTTTCTTCCCTGAAATAAAAACATTAAATAAGGATAAAATACCTGCATCAAAAAAATATTAATTAATATAATTATTTTAACCAGATTGTACCTGTTAGTTTAAGTCTTGGTTAAAAAAACCCAAGATGAATCATATATTTCATATATTTCAGAGCAAAATAAAGGTTCTACTTAATATTCTAGTTAAAATGTATAAATAAATGATAGCTGTGGGATAAAAAAATAATCCAGAAGAAACTGTTTTACTCTCTAAATGCAATCTAATGAATATGGTATATTAGTGTTCATGTACAGAAATAAAATATTTTTAAGAATGTTTTTTCTCCAAGGTTAAAAAAAAGTTTAATAGAAATACCACCCATTTGTGTTCAAGATTCCTGTTACAACATATTCAGGAGCATTTATTACTGTTTATAGTTTCAGATATTATTGCAGATATTGCAGTGATTACGCCTCTTCAGATACCTTCTTTTGTCCCTCTCTCCATAGATTCATTATCACGAACTAAAATGAGAGAACATTTCTTCAGTATTAGTGTTTGCTGGAAATGTGTTGTGGTACAAGATAAACTGCACATGAGCATTTATTTGCAGCTTAGTGAATAGCTTCAGATATTATTGCTGATATTGCAATAAATACTCTTCTTCAGATACCTTTTGTCAGACTCTCCATAGTTTCATCGTCACAAACTAATAATGAGAGAAATATTCATTTGGAAGATTTATTTATTAATTGTTTCCACAAATACTCTAGAAATAAACCACAATAAATGTAACTGTTAAGCTGATTCATATGTGTTTTTGATCATAAAAAGGAAAATATGTAGTTTAATTACCTTTTTTAACGGTTTTCTTCCCTGAAATAAAAACATTAAAATGCCAACACATAAAATACTTGCATCAAAAATATTAATTAATATAATTATTTTAACCAGATTGTACCTGTTAGTTTAAGTCTGTGTTTGTACAGGATAAACCCAATCAAGCCCAGAACACAGATGAAGGCGATGATGAAAAGAGCCATCCATGGATCTGATGAATCTGGTGGATCTGAGGAAGACAATCCAGATCAATATAAATGCCTTCAAAATCAACTTTGTCAACTTTTTAAACATAATTATTTCATTCATAATCCATTTTGATTGATTGAATTGATTTTTGATCAGATGGTTGAATAATTTGAAAGATTGATGACTATCAAAGAAAGACGAGCAGTGGCCAGTTGCATTAACCGCTAAAACCCAACAAGTTAAGCTAACTCACTTCATTTGAGGAAACTGATTGACTCAATTCAATTAAGTTTATCAAAAACAATAGCTATGAGTACTCTGAACTTATTTTAATTGAGTTCACTAAAACAATGATATTTCTTAATACACAGTTAAACTTTACACTACATTTAAATACTTTATATAGCTGAAACTTCACTTGATTAAGTAAAAACAGTGAAATGACGAACTTTAAATGAACTCAGAGCACTTGCGCTAACTCATTTCATTTGAGAAAACCGGTTGCATCAATTTAATCAAGTTTATTAAAAACAATAGCTATGAGTACTCTGAAATTATTTGAGTTGAGTTCACTAAAAGTAGATATACATTGCAGTCTAGACATTAAGTAATTAATTAAGTGATTATTGAGCATTAGTGATGAACACCTGCTGATAACAAGCAGAATCACTGAAGGAAAGAGAAACACAAGATCTAACTCTCTTCCAACCGAAGCCTTTGATGAAATCAACTGAAGATAAAAGATGTTAAATCTCTGAAGATCTCAGTAGAGGAGAATTAAACAACTCCACAAATAGCTTTACCAGCTTCACTTATTACTAACCACTTTGACTTCTGTCATGTTTCTATCTACAGACGTTGTTATTGAGAATGAACAGAGGTTTAGATGATGGTTGTGTCTAGATGATGAAAATCATAATTTAGTGACTTGATTCTCTGATCTTTTCCAGAACCGAATGTCTGATTAAACAAGTGATGTATTGTATTATTCATTTTAATAGAGCTGTGATTTTGCTGTTAGGTCCATTGAAGTGACAATCAGATTTTAGAACCCTCTATGGCAGGGGTAGGCAAGTTCGGTCCTAGAGAGCCGCTGTCCTGCAGAATTTAGTTCCAACCCTAATCAAACACACCTGAACAAGCTAATCAATCCCTGCGTCCCAATTCGCATACTATCCGTCCTAAATAGTATTCGAATTTAGAATTAGTACGTCCCAAATCGTAGTATGTTGAAATTAGTGTTTCAAAGATACCCGGATGGTCTACTTTTTCCGGTCAGAATCCGAAGTGTAGATCGATGCACACTCTAACGGCTGATATTGCCCACAAACCATTGCGCGTTGGACGAGGATTCGGTTAGAACTACAAACACGAGTAAAAAGTCTTAAAAAAACTACAGACACGTAGTCGAAACGGAGGACGCGCGAGTCCCCGCGGTTGTGTAGTAGAGAGGTTTAGATAAAGAGCTTTGAGTGATTAATTATCAGTATCTAACCTGACGAAAATGGATTTATTCAATGTTGTACACATTGCATTTGCAGCAGCATTGTGAACTTTTGTAAAGACACGTTTAGCCATTACGTTTTAAATGCATCATTATATTCAAATTGCAAACACACGAGGAGAGCATGAAAGACCCACAACTGGCAGATGAACGCCCTCTCCGAAACGGTAGGAAATAAAATTAGATAGAATGGAGGATTTTAACTGTGACAAGATGATTGACAGGGCAGTTTACGGTGACAGGATGCAATGCAGCACGCGACAGAGCCGTCCGTTAAAGATGACGTGATAGTATGTCCCAAAGCTTGCCTACTCTTTTGCTACACACTCAAAAGTATGTACTTTTTCCTCACAAAAAGAGTACATACTTTTAGGACGTAGTATAAGTAAGCGAATTGGGACGCAGCAAATGTCTTCAGGATTACTAAGGCTATAGGCAGGTGAGATTTTGTTCAGTGTTGGAGCCAAACTCTGCAGGACAGCGGCTCTCTAGGACCGAACTTGCCTACCCCTGCTCTATGGTATCAAGTCAACTCACACAGTAATCAAGAATCAGCATATGAATCTCAACAATGGTGACCAATAAAAAAAAATCATGTCGCAATGCATGCCAGGAGAAATGGATAAGTTATGTATTACGCTAGTACCCAGCATGCATTGCAACATTAGTAGTTTTTTTAATGGTCACCATTGTTGAGATTCACATGCTGATTCTTGATGTCTGTGTGAGTCTTAGTAATACATTACAATTTATCTGAAACTTTTTGTGACAAACACTTTGTAAAATCATTCATATTATCTGAAGAAAACAACATTCCTGGCACTTATACTGTTAAATCACAGTTTTGAACAAAAATATTAATATTTTGTCCTTTTAATCAGTGCACACACACGAGCAGCGGATCTCGTTTCGCTTCCCGGGAGATGTAGTTCATAGACCGGTTTTCACATAAAACTAAATGTTACTCTTCTGTTTTATGACTAACTGCGACGTTTTTGACTTTCAGAATTATCTTTTAAATTGACAAACATCATATGTGTAATTGAGGGCACAGTTCAGACGGACTAAAAAGATAAGTTGTCTCTCGCCATTGACTACCATTATGTGCTCCTTTTTTCCGAAATAAGGTCCCATGAGCCGGAAGCGGAGGGGCGGGACTTGTATGTATTTATTTCATTATTATTATTATTATTATCTATTTATGTATTTATCTTCTTGAACTTGGGTCCCTGCTCAGTCCATGTATTAAGATCGGTGTATTTACTGTTTTGTTCTGGTGCCCAAATGCAATATCACTGACAGTGTTTCTGAATGTTTGATTGATTGTTGTCTTCTTGTCTTGTTTAAAACGACTGGAAGGCTAAAACTGAATTGCCCTATGGGGATAAATAAAGTTGTTTGAATCTTGAATCTTGAATCTATTTACAGGAGTGAGAACCGCATTCTACATCGCTGGAGGTTCTACATCGCTATCTTTGATATTACGGTCACAGTCGCTGTGGTTACTGATAAGAGAATACGGGCGTGACTCTCTTTGCACGTTTATACAGAAATCATTCCAGACGATAAGGTAATTTGCTGTTTAAATGGGACATTTTAAGACTTACACCTGTATATCAATGCGGTTGTCAATCCTGAAAACCGACAGTGTGAAAATGTAGCGGGACTACACATGATTGAGATGTTGAATAAACTGTCTGGGGGAGGGGCGGGGCTGTACATATATCTGTGTTTGGTTGGGATGTTCATTGACAGGTGCGGCTGATAATTGGGATGGATCAGCAGCTTCTGTGATTAGTGGCTGGAGAGAATAAAAGCGGATGGATTCTGGTCACAGTGAGCTGAAACGACTTCACGTACCGCAACTCACAAGAGCGAAGACGTTGGTATTGCACGCTACCGATTCCCCAGATAGCGGCGAGCTGGTCGCTTGTAGGGAAGACGGCGGGAGAATTGTGTCAACGTACTCTATTCTTCGCATTAAGGGAAGTAGTTTTGCGACAGCCTCGCAGCGAGTGGGCTGTACTCTGTGATATTGTTGTAAAGAGTTGACTGATGCACTTTCCCCTCCTCGCAGTTCCGGGTGGAGTTTCGCGGATAAACTCTGTCAACGGGAGGCGTCAAATACACCGCATCGTCACAAGGAAGTTTCAACGCACTCTATTCCTCGCATTAAGGGAAGTAGTTTTGCGACTGTCTCGCAACGAGCGGGCTTTACCCTGTGATATTATGGTGACGAGTTGACTGATTCACTTTTCCCCTACTCGCAGTTCCGGTTGGAGTTCCGTGGATAAGCGCCGTCAACGGGAGGCGTCAGACACGTTGCATCGGCACGGGGAACATAGACAGAGACTGATGCGATTCCCTCGCACCGTGATTTCGAATATTGGACTGACCGTGAGTGGTTGTTGAGCTGTTAATGTTCTTGTACGGTAGCGGGGGTGGCTGAATTAGGTATACAATAGTTAGGTTAGAGGTCTGGCTGCTCGCCGTAAATTTGCTGAATAGTGAATGTGGTGAAAGTGTATTTCTCGTGTCCACAGTGTTTTCAACATCTTAGCATTTAACTGTGTGAGCATGTTACGTTTGGCTAGTCTACTGTGTTATGCTGTGTGACTCTTTGTATTGTTTTCACATATGGTTATGGTTATTTGACCCTTGTTCTTATAGAAGTGTGTTCTTAACGTGGGTGATGTGAAATTACACGAGTGTAGAATTAATAGTGGTACGTCTATTAGCGTTGGGATAACTGGGACTTTGAGACTTCACTTCCCGATAGAGGGCGCCAAATTTTTACTACCAGTTTTATAGCAGCAGTACTACTACTGAAATTGCTTATTCCTACTAACCAATTGCTATTTTTTTTAATGTGGTTTGTTCATACCAGGTATATAGATTTTGATGACCTCTCTGTCTGGTCGGGCATATTTTTATATATAGTGTGTGAGTGTTTTTATGCATTTAAAAAATTGTCAATAAAACTGAGTTTATACACTTCTGTCTATTGTTGTCGTACCTCAAGGGTCAATACAAAAATTCCTGGTTCCGTTACAATTTTGGCGTAGTGTCGGCAGGACCCTTGACGTACACAACAATATGAGTAACAGCGAGCAGCCTCAGGTAGCGGGTGCACAGCCACAAATGGTAGCTGCATTTATGCCATGGTTTATGGGTGGGCCATGGGTCCCAAAGTTTAGTGGAGAAGGGGGTGCATCAAAGTTTTCGGAATGGAAAACGCAAATTGAAGCCTTTATCCGGGCCCAGGGGCTGAATGCAGAGCAAAGGGTGGATTTTGTGCTGAGCGCATTGGAGGCAAATGCTAAAAGAGAGGTGGTACTGTTAGCAGTTGATCAACGTGACACTGACACCAAGATTTTAGAGGCCCTAAGTAAATTGTATGGAGTCCAACGACCAGTAGCTCAGTTGCGAGTCCAGTTTTTCAACTGTAAACAGGAACCTGGGGAGGGTGTCAGCGATTTTATTCTCCGTTTGCGTGAGTTGCATTTCAGATGGAGAGCTATGGACCCCCTTGAGACCGGAACAGATGATGAGCTGCTACGGACACAGTTTGCCATGGGCCTGAGAACGGGATCGTTGAAGCAGGAGCTGCAGAGGCAGCTCCGAAGGACCTCAACGCTTACCTTTGTGGAGGCTTGTGAGGAGGCAAAAGCACTGGAGCGGGAACTGGGCCACACGGAAGAAGCCAGCGTTTGCCCAACCGTTGCTACAACATCATACCCACGGCCTATTGCCATGGAGTTGCAGCAAGTGAAGGATGCTCTGCGGGCTGAGCTGCGTCAGGAGTTGAAGGAACAGGTAACCCTTTTAGGCAAGTCTATTGTAGAGGAGCTACAAGAACGCTTGAAACCACTGCC